TATTTCAATACACGCAGTTTCCTTTGTCACCCGGAGGATTTTTCACTCATTTAAAGCATTAATGGATAGCTGGAGCCCAGGGCATTTTTAGGGCAGTGAAGCCATTCTGCATGACACTGTAGTGGTGTACAGGTGACATTACGCATTTGTCAAAACCCACAGGACTGTACAGCACAGAGGCAACCCTCAGGTGAACTGTGGACTAGTTAGTAAGAACGTATCAGTATTGGTTCACCAGTTGTAACGTGTCCCACTGGAATGCCAGACACCAGTCAGAGGAAGTGCGTAGGGGGAGGGGGCAGAAGGGAGCTCTCTGCTTTGCATGCAGTTTTTCTGTAAACCTGAAAGTCTTCTCAAATATAAGCTATTACTTATGACAGAACAAATAACTTCCGCTGCTGAAGGGGACCTTGGAGTGCTGTGGGAGCCCCAAGATGCTGGTCCTATTTCAGGCCCACCAACCCCTCACCCGCAGGACCCCCTCACCATGCCCGCTGGAAGCAGGAGCAGTGTTTACCTCTGCACATGGCGAATGGGGCTACACCATCCCGGGGCCACAACCGGCCCCTGCTCGACGTCCAGTCACAGCCACGGGACAGAGTACACCTTTGGGGGTCGCCTGCAAGGAAGAACACAACTCACACACACGTGCATGCACGCAGGTACACACACTCACACATGCACACACATGCCCATGCATACCCATATATTAACACATGGTACACACGTGCACACACCTGTGCACACACATAGATACATGCACACACAAAGCAGTCACAATGCACACACATGGCACACGGAGATACACACGTACACAATGCACACACATACAGATGCACACATGCACGCACAAATACAATGCACACACATGTACACACAGTGTATGCACACATGCAGGCACACATATTGTCTTAGTTCCCTAGTGCTGTTATAACAGAAATACCACAAGTGGATGGCTTTAACAAAGAGAAATGTATTCTCTCACAGTGTAGGAGGCTAGAAGTCCGAATTCAGGGCGCCGGCTCCAGGGGAGTCTTTCTCCTTCTGTCGGCTCTGGAGGAAGGTCCTTGCCATCAATCTTCTCCAGTCGAGGAGCTTCTCAGCACAGGGACCCTGAGTCCAAAGGATGCGCTATTCTCCTGGCTCTTGTTTCTTGGTGGTACGAGGTCCTCATGTCTCTCTGCTTGCTTCTCTCTTTTATAACTCAAAAGACATTGACTTAAGACAAAATCTAATCTTGTAGATTGAGTCCTGCCTCATCAACATAATTGCTGCTAATCTCATCTCATCAACATCATAGAGACAGGATTTACAACACATAGGAAAATCTCATCTCATCAACATCATAGAGACAGGATTTACAACACATAGGAAAATCCCATCAGATGACAAAATGGTGGACAATCACACAATACTGGGAATCATGGCCTCGCCAAGTTGACAGATATTTTGGGGGGACACAGTTCAATGCATGACACACAATAACACACACACGCATCCATGCACACACATGAATGCGCACACACACATGCTTACACACACATGCACATGTACACATATGCACACACACCTTCATGCACCCAGGCACACACAGATACACACACGCACGCACACACAGACACACACACGCACGCACACACACGCAGTATCAGCAAACGGGCCCCTTCTATGACATGCCCAACACGTTCAGTTCCCAGGTTTGAGGATCTGTTTTTTTAAAAAAAACTGCATTAACCTAAATGTTTTCCATTCCGAACGCACTTGGTTCAGTCTCAGCCATCACATTCAGAATAATCACACCGAAAAGCTAATTTCTGAAAAAGACAAAGTCGTTTTAGTTTCTGTAGCCACATTTAATCTCTGCTTACCGTGCTAGACCTGCCCTGGTTGCTGGGTGAAATAATTTCCACCTCCAGTAAATACTAACTCCACCACAAATCCCTAGAGAAACAGATGCATTTTCTAGTGAAAGATCAACGCTGGGTCTGCCTTAGATGCTAGTTCTACACGATATTTTTTAAATCCATTTAAAATCTCAGAGCCAAATCCAGTAAATGATTAGTCTACTTTAGAACATAGCTTTGGGAGTTAACACATTAAGCGTTTTAGGGGAAAAATGCACAATACGTGTGCTAGAAAAAAGGGTCCGGAGCACTAAGCCCGGAAGGGGTGTAGGGAAGCGCGGCCAATCAGCGCCGGCCTCGCTATCTGAAATGTGACAACCAGCCGGCCATCCGTGCTCCCTTCTGCGGGGACTCAGCCAGGCAGGAAATGCATCATTAAATTACAGGGCGGGGAAGCGGGTCAGGGACTGGGTGGGGATGCCACCCAGATGTCCATGGGGACTGAACAGGCCCTCAAAGCGAGGCTGGGCCAGGGAGGCAGAGAAGGGAGGACCCAGTCCGAGGGCGCGACGCCTTAGTGTAGACCCAGCTCCAGTCTGCGGGGAGAATCTCTCCTTCGTCCGGCCTCAGTGCGGCCAGCTCCGATGCGCCAGCAGGGGCCCCTAGCCACCACCCCACACTGGTTAGGGGCCAGCCGGAAGGCCTGGAGCCGCCGCAGGAAGATGTACCATAACCAGGGATTTGAAACAGTGCCAGTTCCCGGGGCGCCAGGAGCCCCGGGTCAGGCCTGAGTCTGAGCCCCCTCCTCCCGCCTGAGCCCCGCCCCTTCCGCCTGAGCCCCGCCCTCCTGACCGCCCCCTCTGAGTCTGCTCCGGTGGGCTGGGTGGGAGGAGCCCAGTAGGCGAGGCGATCTGCCCGCTGCAGCTGCACCCCAAAGTTCTCTGCAGCTACAGATCACTGGGTGGCACTGGAATCCTGAGCCTAGGCCATCCCAGACCCTGAGTGAGAGCTCCAGGCGGTTGTCCTGGCCCAGGGCCGCAGCTCCTGCCCCGGGGGGCGAGGGGGCCACACACCCTGTCAAGCCCCTCCAGCTCTGACCTGGGTCTCCAGCAGAAGTCTCCTCAGGTCTCCTCGGGCCCTTCCTCTCCCCCCACCCCAGAGGAATGGCACCCCCCTCTTGTAGCCTCCTCCACAGGCCCGCCTCCTTTGGGGACCCCACTGCTGCAGGCAGCAGCCGCCCAGGGGCCTCCAAGCAGAAGGCGGCAGGCCGGCTCGAGGGTCGAGCAGCGGGATGTGGAAGGTGGCGGGAAGAGCAGCCCGCTGCCGCCTCGAGGTCCCTCGCGCCTCAGGCCCTCAGCCCCCGGCCTCTGCCTGGGCAGGGAGGGGTGGCTTCTCAGGGTGGGTGAAGACGAGGAGCAGAGAAAACAAGCTGGTCCTTGCACGCGCAGGCGCGTCAGGCCACCTCGCGTCTTCCCCGTCCGTCCCTCCCGCTGGGGGCAGCTGGCAGCGAGCCCTGGGGGAGGGGGTGGGGTCTGGGCGGAAATACCAGGACCAGAGCCTGACTGGCCGTGGTGACTGCCCGGACTGGGGTCTGCGTCTGCTGCTCTGGGTGCCCCGGCCAGCACATGGGCTGCACCACCCACCCACTTCCTGCAGCCTTGTGCCCAAGTCCTCTCCAAGGGGATGGAGGGTGGGGAAGAGTCTCCAGCTGGAGGTCGGTGTGGACTGCACGCCCCACTCAGAGAGCGGAACATCACCAGGGTGGGGGGAGGTCACCAGGGTGGGGGGTATCACCAGGGTGGGGGGATGTCACCCTGGTGGAGTGACGTCAGCAGGGTGGGGGGTGTCACCAGGGTGTGGGGATGTCACCCTGGTGGGCGGGACATCACCAGGGCAGGGAGTATGTCACCAGGATGCCCAGGTGTTGCCAGGCCGAATGTCAGCCCAGGCCTCAGGGTGGGGCCCTGCCACCCAGCCCCGGGGGGAAGGAGGCTTCCCACAGATGGGCAGGGGGAGAGCTAGCGTGAAATCAAGCTGACAAGAAAACGTGATTAATTTGCTGCTTAAAGAAGTGTTTGCAAAGATTACCGAATCTGAAGCTGCCCTCCCTCTTCGTTAGAGCCACTAGACCGTTGTCTGTGTCAGGACCCCTCCCCCTCCCCAGCCTGAGGAGGGGAGGACACAGCCCTGGCAGGAGAGGGGCTGGAGGACGTGCCATGTCGACATGCCGCCCCGTCAATCTGGACCCCACCCTCGGCTGTCCTTCCTCAAGGAGCAGACAGGACAGGGAGAGCCAGATACAGATTTTACAGGACAAGCGCGTGTCACGTGGGGATTCCAGAGCAGGTGGCAGGGAGCTGCCCAGGGCAAGGGGGTTGGGGCAGCGTCTGACAGCTGAACCGAGACCAGGAGGACCGGGAACTGTTGGGCATTCTGGGCCAAGGTGGCAGACCCCAGGCCCTCACGGTGGCGGGAGTACCAGGACTTGGGGAAACCGTCAGAGGAGCATCGCCCTGGCAGGTGTGCCCCTAGGCCCAGCCCTCCCAGGTGGCCATCCCGCCCGGCAGTTCACCTGTGTAAGCCACCGGGCCACCATCCCCAGCCGGGGAGCCCCGCAGAAGCTCCTGTGGGAGAGGGGTACCTCAGGAAGCCTGTGGTGGGGCGGGTGGGGCCCCCATCACTGTCAAGCTGCCCGGGCAAGGAGGGGTGGAGGCAGGGTGCTGGCAAATGGCCGGGTGCAGAGGCCACCATCGTGCCCCACAGCCCCCGCTCTCGGGGAACGGGGGGGGGGGGCCAGGATTCCCGTCATGACCTCATCCCAAGCCTGCTTCCCCTGCAGTGACACCACAGGCTGACACAAGCCCACCACCCTCCCGGCTGCCCAGAGACCCCCGCGAGGCCCCCACACTGTGGGGGCCACGTCCCCGAGTGTAGGCAGAGATACCACACGCCATGAGGCCACCTTTCAGAGCTCTCGTCTGAGAGCACGTGACCTGGAGCCTTCCGCAGCCTCACCAAGGAGGCCCCCAGAGGCTCACCTCACGGAGCACAGACAGCGAGGCCACAAGGCCAGCGCGGACTTCCTTCATCCTCTTCGACATTTCCACAAAGGAAGAACGGAAGATTCATTTTATTTTTATTTCTTCCTTTGGGTCTTTAAAGGGACAAAGGGGGACAGGGACGCACTACTGCAGACGACAGAGCCAGCTGTTTCCTTTACATTAACATTTCAGTCTGTTTCGGAGGGACACCCCCCCGACCCCCACTGGGACTCAGCAGCATCTGGGGGACAGAGCAGCCTCACGGACCCAGATGGACGCCCCAGGGACCCAGGCTCCGAGAGGGACGCGGTAGGGAGGGTGGGCAGGCTCCCAGTTGCCCTGGCTTGGGGAAGGAAAACCCAAATGTGCGACCTGGTTTCGGTGTTGCCTGCAGGGGCCCTGAGCTGAGCCGCCCAGTGAGTGCCGCCGCCGAGGGCCAGGCCTGCCCCCCACCGCCCAGCGCCTGAACGTGAAGCAGAGGCAGCACAGCAGGCGTTACTCAGTTCTGCTTGTTCTGTGACAGAAGAGTCAAAGTCCTAGTCACAGGAGTAGACACATTCAGCTGGGAGGCGCGGTGCCCCGGCTCATCCTCATCCCCGATGAGCGCTCCTCCCGGGTCTCCCGCTGGGCTGACCTGCCCCTCATGATTTCCACAGCGGCTGGTCCCACAGACGGGATGGGGTGCAGGAGGGTAGCTGTGCCCTCAATGTCAGGGAGCTGGGAGAAAGCAGAAAGGGGCAGTTACTGTGGGGTCGAGTCAGGGGACAGGCCCCTGGGGGGCACCCCACTTGGATCTCCCAGCACACCTCCCAGGCTTGTGGCTCACTGGGGACTCCCCAGCCCCTGCCCCCCACGGGCCCTGGCCATCTAGGGAGTCCTCTGCCCTTTGGCACCCCTCAGGGAGGCCCCTCTGACCCCTGCACTCCCCTAAGAGGGAGCCCAGTGGCCAGCCCAGGCAGCACACAGGGTGCTGACAGAAGGCCTCTGTTCTGGATCTTTCCGGAAAGCTTATGGCTGGGGCTGGGGGGTGGCTCTGCATACGTCTGGGGGATCACAGCTCAGAGGAACCCCAGGATGCACTGACACCCTCTCTGTAGACATACCCTCAGCGCCTAAGTCTGGGGTGGAGCCTAAAGCCCCCCACCAGGGCACCCTGCTGTCACGGGTCATCCCTTAGGGGTGTGGGGTGACCTTGCAAATCCTTTCCAGGCTGGTGGAGTCAAGGCTCCAGCTCTGCTTGTCAATGTCCCCCCTTCCCCCACCCTCACACAAGCCTCTGATGCCACCCTGGGGGGACGGACCTGGCCAGGGAACAGTGGATCACTTCACCCAGAGTCTCAAGGCCAAGCCTCTCTCCCAAAGAAAGCAGCCAGGCCTGGGGGGAGCCCCTGAAGTAGACCACCAGAGAAGACATTGTTCTCAACCAGAACTCTCCACCCGGCCAGATGTTCCAAGAGCGCAGCCGATGGCCGAGCAAGACACCACAGGTTCCTGTCACAGCTCTCCGGGGGAACCATGCAAACCAGGACGAAGGAGGAAATGAGACAGGAAACAGGAGTGGGCACCAGAGGCAGGCAGGGAATTTCCAGGATGACGGAGAGACAGTGGGGGACCACAGGCCAAGGGAGCAGGCAGGGAGGGCTCCGGGAAGAAGAGGAGCGGACAGTGCGGTGGCGGCCGAGGGGGCCAACACCCTCCACCTCCATCAGGAGACAGAGACTGTCTCCTGGCCACGACCGACAGGAGCAGCAGAGGGCTTTCCTGACGGCTGGCAGCTTCCGCGCTGGCATTCTTGGATGCTCTCAGTGGCCACGGAAGGAAGCAACCATGCTGTGAGGAAGCCCAAGCCACCGCGTGGACGGTGAGCCCCGTCCCCCAGGAGGGAGAGAAGCCGGTCATCTGGTCGTTCCGGCGCTCGAAGCCGAGGCACCAGTCATGCGAATAAAGCATTTGGACCCTCCAGCCTGGCCGAGACCAGGTGGAACCGAAAAGCTGCCCAGTCCACACATGGAATCCTAAGAAATCATAAATCCGTGTTGTTTCGGGCCACTCTGTTCTGGGGCAGTTTACACAGTAATAGGGAACCAAAACAAATACGTAAAGTGTCTGAGGTACCGAGAGGGCCAAGCATGAGTAAGTGGAGAGGAAACTACGCAGACAAAAAATGAGACAAATACCAAGTCTTTGGAAAACAGGGTTGAACAAAAACAAAACACATTCGTTATTATCTTCATGGATAATCTGCAATTAGTAATATAAACATGGGATCTTGATTTTACTGAAACCGATGTTTATGATAAAATCTTCATCTTCCACAGAAAAATGGCCATAAGTAACGTCAAAGCCAAGAAATCAAGAAGCAGCAGGGTAAGTGCATCAAGTAGGAATAGAGAGAGAGACTGCCTTCATCCCAAGCTTTCTAGGATAAGTGGACTTAAAGAAAGGGGACACATGGAATGTGGACACAAATGAAAATTAATGAAAAGCAATGACATCAGGACCCTCTTACTACGAGGTGAAATAAGCCAAACCTTTTCCATTTACATCTCAGAAAATGCAGGAGTCGGGTCTTCACAGGAAAACTCAAGCCCACAGTTTACCCACCTGGTCAGCTGCCAATGCTGGGCAATGGGGGCTGGTCACCCCTGGCCAGCCGGTGAGACCAGCCCTTTCCACATGTCACCTGCCCAGGCGGTGGGTTCACCCAGGGACCCACCCAGCACCCATGATGGTAGCAAGAGGTGTATAGACCGTAGGTGGCAGGAGCGTAAACTTCCCCCGTATCCAACAGGTGCTCAGGGTGTGAGCCTGTCCCCCCCTAGGCGCGGTCCACATGATCCTGGGAGGGGGACACAGTTGAGCGGCCCCTCCCGGCAGTGTTCCGGGGCTGGCCAGGTCACCACTGCCCGCCCAGGCCTGAGGACCTGGGAAGACACCGGGGCAGGCGGGGCAGGAAGCTCCAGGACATTCCTTCCACCATGGGAAGCTAACCCTAGGGAGCCACCCCAGGACAACAGGACTCGGGACCGCCGGGTCTTGGAAACGTGCTCTGTTCCAGGGCCTGGAGGGGCAGTGCCGTGTGGTGCCCCCTCCCCAGCACTGAGGCAGGCAAACAGCTCCAGGAAGGCTGTGCCGTGTCTGCTAACTGCGCGGTTTCCCAGGACAACGTCTGCCCTTTGCAAAGAGAACCAGAGACCATGAAACGAACGTGGGCCTGCTCTCAGCACCGGCCCCTCAGGGACGGCCTTTCCAGACACTCCAATTGTCTTCCCTCTGGAGTTATCCCAGGATGGGGTGGGTACACAGCACTGGCTGTGGGGGCGGTGAGACCCCACCCGCCCATGGTGGGCTCAGCACAAGAAGAGGGTGGCCCCCAGCCAGCATCCGGCTGCAGAGAGGGTGCGGTCAGCCAGAGGGCAGCCATGGCCACCACCTGTGGGCAGAGCAGGACAGGGAAGCCTACGCCCTACGGGGATGGTCTGGGTCCTGCACATCTGCGGCAGATGGGGCGCTGCACCACGGGAGGCCCTGCTCCCAGAGGCCAGGTGCGGGGCCCGGGCATGAGATATGGACTCCACAAAGCTTTGCTCACAGGGGCTCCCACACGGCCCCCGGACAGCTGAGCATCGGGAAGGGCAAGTGATGTGTCTGAGGTGGCCGTCCCTCCCCTGCCCAACCACCCCAACTCCCAGGAGGGATGGCTGCCTCCACAGGGGCTGTGGTCCCCTGGGGGCAAGAGGGAGGGGCTGGAGCAGACATCCCACCCACACATGCCGACAGGGAGTCTCACCCCAACCCTGGGGCCAGCACCCACCCTTGCTAGATGAAGGCCTCAACTCTGGGTCCCCGAGGAAACACGTGCGTGCGTGCGTACCCGTGTGTGTGCACGTGTATGGTCTGTAGTGTGAGTGTGCAGAGGTGAGTGGGTGTACGTGAGTGTACACACGTGTATGTGTGTGCATGTGTGTGCGTGTACTGTGAGTGTGCAGAGGTGAGTGGGTGTACGTGTGAGTGTACACGCATGTGTCTGGTGTAGTGTGTGCATGTGCGTGGTGTAGTGTGAGTGTGCAGAGGTGAGTGGGTGTACACATGTAGGTGTACATGTGCACGTGTGTCTGGTGTAGTGTGTACATGTGTGCGCACATGCACAGGTGTGCACGTGTATGGGTGTATGTGTGTGCACGGGTGTGGGTCTGTGTGTACGCATGGGGGTACGTTCATTTGTACTGGCCAATGGGCTAAAGTCAGGAGCCAAAGAACTGGAGGACCTGGCTTCTCCAAGCCCCCAAAGTTGAGTGAAATAAAAATAAGAATAAACGTCCCACGCTAGGTGAAGTCCAGCCCCAGAACCCAGGCCCTGCCTATGTCCAGGGCAGGCTGTCCACACTGGGCAGCGCCCCTTCTCCGCGTGCCCCAGCGCCTGCTGTGGTGTCCCTTCAAAAGCAGGATGAGCTGCTGCATGGTGTGGTCAGGGGGCAGGGACACCTGGAGGTCCTACAGCGCTCCTGGTGGGCACTCAGTGTTGCTGGCACAGGGGAGGTAACAGCCACCACCTGGGAACTGCTAATCCACCTGTTAACTGGGGATCGGAAAGGGGCTCCAATAAAAGGCAACGTCGTTTCTCTAGAGAGAAAGCAGAGCCCACGAAAGCTGGCCCCGTCAATAACGTGACCTTTGGAAGTGTTGTTAAGTGTCCATCAGCCTCACCCCTCCTTAGACAAATGCACAGGGGGCTGGAGAGGCCAGTGGAGCGCTGGGTCCTTTCCTCAGCAGGAAAGAGATGGGGCGTCTAGAGTGTCCACACAACGGCAGGCGCCTCTGACTCAGCCCCCTGCCCGCAAAGAATCACCGCCTTCCGAGGACCACAGAGGGCAGCAGGCTGGGTCCTCCCTCACTGCCATAGAGCTGCCACCTGGCCCCGCAGAGCCTGGGCCCGGCGCTCTGAGCTTCTGGACTCCATGAGCACACCCAGCGTCTTAGAAATCTGAAGGCGGGCGGGGAGTGTCCCTTCCCTTTCTTCCTGACTGATCAGGGAGGAAAGTGCTCCCCCGAATAAGACAGAGTCTCTGCGCCACATCATCTGCCTCCTCCAGTCCATCCTGACTGACACCCCCCCCCTTTAATTATGGGTCTGAGGCCCCTGTCCTCGAGCACGAGCACGGCCAGCCTGGCAGCCCCAGGGCCCCGCCACGCCGGCGGCCATTGCTGCTGGCTGCTCAAAGAAGGCTGTTTTTCCTGGGGCTTCCCAGGCAGAACTGCCCAGAGCATGGGGGTCTACATGGAAACAGCCCGGGGGAGGGGAGGCATGGGGCTGTTATGGACTGAATGTGTTCCCCCCCAAAATATGTTGAAGTCCTAACCCCTGTACCTGTAATGTGATGGGTGGGGAGGGGAGGGTTTCTTTTGCTATCAGTTAAATTAACAAGGTCACACCAAAGTGGGGTGGGTCCTAGTCCAAGGTCCCTTCTGAGTGGTGTCTCATAAAGGGAGCAGAGACACAGAGACAGCCACACGCAGAGGGAGAAGCCATGAGAAGACGCATCTACAAGCAGCAAAGGACGTCAAGGATGACGGACAGCCACCAGACACCAGGGGAGGCACACAGAGGTGAGGCCCTGAATTTGACTCCCAGCCCCTGAAACCCAGAGAGAAGAAATTCCTGGTCTTTAAGGCCGCCCTCTGTGGTATTTTGTTAAGGTGGTCCCAGGGACTTAACACCAGGGAAGGAAAGTCCCACCCAGGTCCTCCACCCACCTCTCCTTGGTTGCCCACCCCAGACAGCACCCAGTCTGCCTGACTCTGGGTCCGTCCAAGAGTGCTAAAGCCCTGAGGGTTGGGGACAAATATTTTGGGGGGGGGACGAAGGAGGTGTTGGAGACACCCAGCTTTTCAGTGACGTTAAGGCAGCTGGCAAGCGGGGGTCCTCGGCCTGGGAGGCGCAGGTGGGCAGGGCGGCCAGAGCTCCTTCTGCTACGCTGGGAGACACCCCCAATTCCAGGCTCCTGATCCCTCTGGAAGAACAATGGAACCCCAGCCATGTTTCCTCGGCTCTGCTCTTGCTGCTCTCACAGGCGCCCATCTCAACCCCGCGGTGCTCTGACAGGGCCCAGGGAGGCGGCAGGGCCTGGCGGCTGGATCGAGGGGATGGTACAGGGACTGAGTGGTGCAGCAGACACAGAATTACAGGCCTTGTTTCCTTCTAGAACAAAATAATTACACCCTTCTCCGAGGACCCAATTTGCTGGAAGAAACTTGGGAAGTCAGCTGAAAACCTTCCTTAGGGCCTTTTTACTTAAAGTCGGAAGAAAGAGAAAAGCGAGTCTGGGGCTTGCTGCCCAAGGATATGGTTCCAGCAGGAAAAAATCAATAAGAAAGTTGAGACCCGGAACCCAAGTCACCAGCAAGCACACCCAGATCCCACAGCGTCCCGGCCGCTCTCTCCGCCAAATCTCAGGCAATCGCCGCCAATACCCAGTGCTTCCAGGGTTGGCTTTCCTGATTAATATCTTTATTTTCCCAGGAGGAATGAACATTTTTGAAGCTGGAAGTAGACAGTGATCCTCTGAAGACTGACTGCCCACTCCCAGCCTTCCCCAGCGCCACGGCGGATCCTTCTGGAACAGTGGGTCCATCACCCCACAACCCCGCCAGCTCAGACCCACGAGCAACACTGCAGCCCAAGGCAGGTGAGACTGGGAGGCAGGTGCCTGGGCTAGACGTCCGCCACCAACCCCAGATGACCTGTGTGGCCTCGGGCTGCCCCTGGCCACCCTCAGCCTCAGTCTCCCCTTCCGTAAAATGGGAAGCTTGGAGCAGACTTCTGAGGTGCATGAAGGTGCTCGAACAACACCTGTGTATGAAGGGGGAGGGGATGCCGGGGGCTGAGTTCACCTTATACGGTGACCTTATACGGTAGAGTTTACAGATGAGATTAAGGAAGGCTCTGAGATGAGATTATCCTGGACTATTTGGCGGGGGGCACTCAATGCTGTCATAACGCCTAGTTGGCAGAGTCCAGGCAGGAGCCTGTCGCCAGCCACCGATGAGGCAGGGCCAGGGGGTGGGGGGCTCTTGGGAACCAGACACCGCATGAAGTCCCTGAAGGGAGCTCCCTGGCACATATCGACAGGCAGCACTGACACCCCCAAACCTCGAGGGGCTCCTGGCACTGCCGGTGTCCTCATTGTGGTTGTGGGTAACTGGAGCCAGCCGGGACCGGCAGTATAGCCCCCAGCGCAGGCCTGCCCGGCCAGCTCCAGGCTCCATCCCAGCCTAGAGCCGGGGCGCCATGCCAGCCCCCTCCTCCAGGAGGCATCCACTTGCTCTCTACCCCACGCCCAACTCGAACCCATCCTTGGCCTCCCACAGTGTCCCATATGACTTCTACTGGGGCCCTCCTCCCACGACAGCCCCGTCCACCGTGGGCACTCCCCTCCCCAAGAGAAGCAGCCCCCACCCCGTTTCCCTCTAAAGAGCAAACATGCCCACAAGACCCCACGGAAGGGGCACCTGTCCCCCGGCCAGCTCTGACTACAGGCCGGCGCTGAAAGCCCCCGCACCCACACCCACTATCTGCTCCCCAGAGCCACGCCCCCCAGCTCTGTGCAGGCAAACCCGTTGGGTGAGCTTTTCCCCTCTGCTTCCTGATAAACATAGCCCGCCCTGCAGCCTCCCAGACCACACTAGCCCAGCCCCCAGGGTTGTTGTTTGGACCTGATGCTATGGGGCTCACCCCCTCCCCGCACCATAACTGTCCAACTCCCCAGAGCTGCCATGACTGGGGACCGAACACCGGAGATGCGTCAGCCGTTCGCTCTCCCAGCAGCAGGGCCCTCGGAAGGGGAGCGTAGGGACAGTGCCCAGGCCCCCAAGCCGGCCTCTGGACCAGGCCAAGATCAGCCCTGGGAGCCAGAGCGACCGGGAGAAAAGAGAGGCAAGGACGCCGGGTGACAGAACCAGGGGAAAGTCCCCAGGGTGGCTGCAGACCACGGCAGGAGAACTCTGGGGGCCACGAGGGCTCCTGGCCGCGCTCTCACCCTCTTCCCCACGTCCCCTCCCCACCTTTGGTGCCCTCCCTTCTGACAATCGCCCCCAAACCTGAACAGAGGCGGGCTGGAGGTGGAGCACCCCCACGCCCACTCACCCACCAGGCACCCCGCCAGCACAAAGGCCCCGACTGTTTGTGCCTGCTTCGGGAGGGAAGTAAGATTCACAGTGTGATTACAGGGGCGGGGGCCTGGAAGGAGCCACAGGCTGGGTGTTGGGGACACACACCATCCAAGCGTGCCTGGTAATGACCTGGCCCAGGTGGAGACCATGGCTGCAGCCCCCCTCCTGCTGACCTCGATGCCACGTGACACAGCGGTGAAGGGGCAGCACCCCCAGACCCTCTCCCCCAAATGTCAGCAGGCCCTCTGAGGCCTGGTCACCTGGGAAACTGTGACACCTGCAGCTGGGGCTGACAAGGTCGCCTGAAGGTCACTAGGGGCAAAGCAGAAGCCCGGATGTGTACAGCACCCCCTCCCCCGGCCCCTGTCTCTGCTTCCGTAGAGGGGAGTGCCAGGCCAAGGAGCCGGGAGAGAACAGCAGAGGCCAGCGGCCTGAGTACGAGAGGCTGCTCTCCGGGAAGGGCCCCACCACGTGCCCACCACACCCCTCCTGTCCCCTCCCCAGGTGGTCAAGGCTTCCGGACCCCCAGGCACTGCCCAGGACCACCTGGGAGAGGAGGGGAGGGGGCTCGGCACTGGGTAGTGTGGCTCTCCCTTAGGGTCACCTCCAAGGTGAGTGGCCTCCTGGACGCACCTGCCTGCCACCTGGCAGAGCCGGACAGTAACCCAGAGAAATGAGCCCCTGCACCTCCCTCAGCCGTGGCATTCCCACGGATACTCCGTGATGACCACCGATGTGCCACGCGGTGATGCCTGCTGCAGCCCCTCAGAGGGGCATCCTAACGCCTCGGCTGCAGGGTCAAAACAGCTCCCTGGGCGAGAGGCCGTGAGACGCTGCCCGGGGACCAGACAGGGCCCTTCCAGCCTGGAGCACCTGACCTCTGCAGGTGCTGCTCCAGGAGCCCCCACACCTGCTGCGCAACCAGAGCACTCGGCACCGGGAGCCGCCGGGGTTCAGGGCAGGTCCCTGAGGCCCCGGGAGGTGAGGGTGGGGGGCTCCACAGAGGAAAGCAGAGTCCTTCCCCCTTTCCGCCCACGCCAAGACTCCGGATGCACAGCTGGGAGCGGAGGGCAGCGAGACCCCAGCTCAAGTCTTTGGGAAGATATGAGACAGTCTCCCAGCTGGAGCTCTGGAAGTTGAGCCCCGCGCTCTCCTGGGACAAAAACCAGTTGCCGTCAAGTCGACTCCGACTCCAGGTGACCTCCTGTGTGTCAGAGTAGAACTGTGCTCCGGAGGGTTTTCAATGGCTGATTTTTGGGAAGTAGATCACCAGGCCTTTCTTCCGAGGTGCCTATGGGTGGACTCAAACCTCCCACCTTTTGGTTAGCGGCCAAGCACGCTCACCATCATACCACCAACTGCCCTTTAAAGCACATCCCTTTTTCCAAAAGACGAACAAGACAGAAAACTTTTACGCTTCTTTGAAAAACGGTGGCAAAACACAAACTAGCTTTGTTCTTTGAACCAGCAGCTGACGACAGCTCGTCTGCTTTAGAACACCATCTGAAGCCACACAGCTCCGACGACACTGCTACGGGAAGGACGATTTTCCAGTGGCCCCGCTTGGAGCATCGGGCCAGATGGCTGGAGCCCTGAGAGCAAGCAGAGGGCAACCCCACTGCCCTGGCTCCCCACCGGCCCCCGGGCCACAGGGCACTGGGTGGAGGGGTACCACCACGTAGGCACCAGCTCTGCCACCTCGGGGAAGGGGCCACCCACCTGCACACACTCACCTGGTCTGGGGAACAGTTACGTTTCAAACTGGGTTAAGAGCTCCCTGATCTCTGGGGCCACGTGTCGTGCGGCGTTTGCAGCCTCGGTGATAGCTTTCCGGTACATCCCCTTCTTCTTACGGTTAAATCTCAGTTTGAAAAATTCAGAGAAAGGGGCCAGTTTCGAAAGAGGCAAGAATGATGTAGTTGGAGAACCAAACCACGAGACTTTCGCTTCTTGCCAAGAAGGCTCCCCGTGCTCCTTCTGGCTAAGGTTGATGTCAAGTACACGTGCTGGCCACCAGGGAAAGCCGTGAATCTTACCCCACACGATGTCCCCCACAGCCACGGTCCTGCCGTCCTCGGTCACGCACGTGGACACACTCTGTGTGTGCAGCCTCACCGTTAGGCGTGGGACTGCGGGGCGTGTGTCTTTGGAGGAGGAAGGCACAGGCACGCCATCACCAGGTGAGAGCTCGCATGCGTCTGCTGATGTGACCTCCGAGCTGGACGACTTGGACTCGTCGAGGCTGTCGCTGCTGCACACGGACTCACTCGCAGAATCGGCCTTCCTTGGCGGGTAGTTGACGAGAAAGGCCAGGCCGTCCCGCCCGGGTTTGCCTCGGGGAAACCGCTTGAAGTCGTCCTCTTCACCGGAACTTCCGGAGGACATGTCCACCAGCCTGTCGTGGGAGGAGCCGTTCGCGAAGGGCGCAGGGGGGCTGGCTGAGTGGCCATTCAGCACCTCCACCAGCTCGGCCCTGTACACGGGCTCCTGCTCACCAGCCCCTGGGCGGTGCGGCTTCAGGCGGATCTTGGGAGGGGGCGCATCCAGGCCAGGTGGCGCCGGCCGTGTCAGCTTCAGCTTTGGGATGGAGGCCGTGGGTGTGGCAGGCGGCCTGTCCCCGCCAGCCCTGGGCTCAGCATCTCGCGCCTCTGGGTCCTGGCTGCCCCCGAGTGGCACCTGTGGGGGGCAGAAGGGCTCCAAGGAGCCGTGCACCCGGGAGGGGATTTTCACCACCTCGCCGGTGCCCTGAGGTGTGCTGTAGGAGATGGTGATGACTGGGCTCCGGGCCACCAGTTCCCCAGGCGCCCGCTCCTCTTCCCTCTTGCCCCTCCTAGCTGGGGCTGAGGTGGCAACGGCAGCGTCGGGGGCCTCGTGCTTCCGTGGCTCACGGTCAGGGCCGCTGCCCAGCCTCCTGCGTGGTGCTGAGGGGGCAGCTGGCTGGCCGGGGCGGGCCTGCTCGGGGCTCAGCGTGCTCTGGCACTTCTCACACAGCACCCGGCGGGGCCTCAGGCGGATGGTGCTCAGGATGAGCCGTCCTGGGGCTTGGTTTCGGGACAGGCGCCTCCGTGTCCGCTTGATGGCCCTGGGCGGGGGCTGCGGCACCCACTGGCCGTATGTGTGTCTCAGCCAGAGGGGTTGCGGGAAGGGGGCGCCTTCAAAGTACGGTGGGTAGGGGGGCAGGCTTCCGGCAGGCGGCGGTGGTACCAGGGGTGGGGGCAGCTTAGGGGGGCCATCTCCACTGTGGGGAGGTGGGGGGTCCGTTTCCAGCTGTGTCACCTTTCGGTCCTCTTCCTCAGGGGCCCAGCCATGGTGGCTGCTGGCAGGGGGGTCCTGAGCCTTAGGCAGCGGAGTCGGTGGGGGCAGGCCCAAGAGGCCAGACCTGGGGGCAGGAGACAGAAACCAGAGAATCAGGACGGCAGAGAGTAGCCAGCCCTCCCTGCCTCCCTCTGCCCAGCCCAGCCCAGCCCGGCCCTCTCCCCGCTGGCTGAGGGGGAGGGTGGCCCAGAGTGCCAGGCAGGATTTCTGGACTTTCAAGCAAACGCAAACAATCCCCCTGCTATGTGTGCGTGCGCGTCTGGCATCCTGGGCAAATCCATGTACTTTATAGTTAGGTGACAGGCAGCAAGGCCCTCCCTCATCTGACAAAGGCACAAGGAGTCCTGCGTCCCAGCCCTTGGCAATGGGGGGGCATGAGGTCACAGCGAGGGGGTTCCCAGGACCTCAAATTGGGGCGTGAGGACCTGGGCAGCCCGGAGCATGGAGTCTGGGTCAGATACTTGGCTTGACTCAGCTGGTGTTTGCCAGGGGCACTACCAAAAGACACCCTGGGTCCCACGCCCAGGCCTCTAGCTCATAGGTCCTCCCCAAGGAAGGGTTCCCGGGGGGTTGGGGGGGCCCAAGGAGACTCCTAGAGTGGGGTGTCAGGCAGGCGTCTGCACCCACCCAGGGCCTGACTTGTGTCTATGTGCCCAGGGTGGGGGCTGCATGTGGCCAAGCCCAGTGAGGACAGAGGCTGGCCTGGGGGTGAGCACCGCTGTGCCCGAATGCCCAGAATCCTGGGAGGCCCGATACTTTCCAGCACCCTCATGCTTTCAGAGATGCTTGGGAAGGTTGCCGTCCACACCACCCACCAGCAGGCCTGCAAGGACATTCCCTCCAGCCTGGCACCCCCAGGCCCCTTCCCATAGGGGCCTCCAGAGGGGGATTCAGGCAGAAGGCTGAGACCTCAGAAGCCCTGCCAGCCACAGTCCTGCTCCTGGGCTCCAGACTTGGGGAGCAGAGCCAGGCCCTCACCTGGCCCGGGCTGGCACCAAAGCCATGCAATCGGTGGGGAAGGGGAAGCAGGAGGCAGAGCACCCACCCTTGGGAGGGCCCACAGCTAAGGCTTCGCAGTACACCGGCACTCCCAGACCACCCGTCCTGAGACACCTGAGCCAGGTAAAGGCTCCCAGAAAGGTGGGTTACAACCAGGCCGGTGGCCTCCACTTAAAAGGCTGGAGGTTTGCTGGAACCTCCCGATCGACTTCTGAGGATTTGTCCCCAGAGCAGACAGGCTGCCTGCATTCCAGACGAGGGCTGCCCCTCAGGCCGTTCCTGGCAATGAGCTCACGACGCACCAGGAAAAAAACCAGGGACACGAGGCTGTTCACAGAACAAGACACCAGCCCCACACGCTACCTGTCTCCTCAACAGCAGGCACCTACATCTCTTAGCAAGATCTTAATTTTCAAGACTGCTTCAACTAAAAGCAGTTATTTTTTAAGCACAAAAATAGACTTTTAACACCCTTGATATTTTCGGCTGGATGATTCTTTGTAGGATGCTCAGCAGCAATCCTGGCCTCTACCCACTAAATGCCAGTGACACCCCTCTCCCAGTTCTGACAACCAAGAATGTCTCCAAACTTTGCTAAATATCACTTTGGGAGGCGGGTGGCCCCCTGTTGAGAAACACTTGGTTTAAAGAAACAATGAATTGGGTGAGTGGGCTGGTATGGGATTAAAAGTTTAAAAACGCTGTCATGAATAAAAACTGCCCATTCTACCTCTGCCATCCAAAAAAAGAAGCTTTCAGACGGTGAAAATGTCAGTGGTTGCAGGGGCTGGCGGGGAGGGACGAACGGTGGAGGACGGGGCATTTTCAGGGCAGTGAGGCTATTCTGCGCGATATGTCATGGTGGACACGTGACGTCATGCATTTGTCGAAACCCACAGGACTGAACAGCAGAGTGAACCCTCATGTAAACTGTGGACTTGAGTTAACAATGTATCAGTGTTGGTTGATCCGCGGTAACAAATGCACCCAATGGATACAGGGTGTTAGCAGTGTGCAGGGGCAGGGGGCCCACGGGAACTCTGAACAATTCTCTTGTAGACCTAAAATTGCTCTGAAACAGTCAATTAAAAAAATACACTTTTAGCCAAGAGAAAAAAGGTTTAGAATCACGCACTTTCCTTTTCTAATTTAGTCAGAGAGTAGAAAACTAAAATGGACTTTTCTGCTTTTTCGATTTCCAAATGATTGCTCCATTTACTCTATTCCCCAAGAGTCCAGGGGGGCTCCGAGGGGCCGACGGCCTTAGTGGCTGGACCACGGTCTGAAGGACTCACCTTGGCCCTCAGACCAGGAAGGCCGCCAAGGCTGGGGCGCTGGCCCTGGAATGTGGCCAGGCAGGGACGTGGGCTGGAGCCTGCCCACCCACTGGTCCACCCTCTGAGGCCTGGGCCTGACCTGAGCCAGACCCCAGGTGGGGGCCTATACTACCCCACCCCACCCCTGAGGAGCAGGCTGGGGCCTGGACGTCCACCCTGGTCCTGGTAGATGGATTCCGGACAGCCTCGTCCTCACATGGTCCCTTCTGGCCCTGAGCCACACTGCCCCACCCTATGCCAGCACCATCCCTGGCCTGGAGAAGTAGGTTTTGAACCCCCCGGGCCCTCAGTGTTGTGGCCTCCTGGGGCAGGGGAGGGGGGTCGTCTGCTCCATAGAGACAGCCCTAGATACAGCGGCCCTGTGACCCACACTGGCACCAGGAGGCCGCCATACTTCTCTCCGGAAGCCGATGACCCAGGCCATAGCCACAACCTGCCTGGGGGTACAGCGCCTGGGGGTTAACAGCACCTGGGGGTGAACAGCAGGGCTGGGCTCAGCCCCAGGCCTAAGCAGTGGGGCGTGACCCGCCCTGGCCCTGTGAGTCTCAGACAGGCAGCGCAGGCATCTGGGGCATTAGTTCCCATGATGCTGAAACCACCCCATGAGGCCTACATCCTCAAATCCATTTCACTCACAGGCAGGTGAGGCCAGGCAACGTGCCCAGGCAGAGTGGCGCTGAGTGCCCATTTCATCTGGCCCTCAGGCCTCTGACCACTCAGCTTCGGGGCAGGGACCTAATCCTCCAGGTGTGCTCCAGAAGGACTTGGTGCCGTCCCACTGGGGGCTCAGCTGGCTCCCGACAAGGGCAGGATCCCCAGGGGCCCTGGGTAGAGGACGTGATACCCTGGCCGTGTTCTCCCCCGCCCTTCGCCAGACTCATGTTTGCCCACCCCTGGGCACAGAGGCCCCAGTCGGCTCAGCAGTGCCCCCAGGAGACCCCCAGGTCTCAGGAAACTCCGGGGGGAAGCGGGGCCCTGCCAGGCCCCGAGGGGGGGCCCCATGCCACCCCATGTACCCTGCCCAGGGCTGTGCTGGGAGCCCCTGGCCTCACTGGGCCCCACACAGGTAGGCGCAGCCTACGGGGCAGGCCCAATCCAGAGTGGGAAGAAGGCAGGCGGGACGGGTCCTCCCAGGGTGGGGCCAGGGCCAGACACAGCCTCAGGGCCTGAGCACCAGGCTGTACAAGGTCTCCACAAGAAAACTGAGGACCAGGAAGGAAATCTGAACTCAGGATCGGGGGTGGGGGGCAATGAGGGGGCAAATAACCTTGGCTCTGAGGAAAGGCTGGGGAAACTGAGGCAGGAATGGGAAATCCAGGAGGCTCTAAGGGGGGCACATCCGAGCAAAGAGTAGTACCCCCTCAAGGGGCTGGGGAGTCAGAACTCCCCAGGGACACCAAGGCCACCCCTCTGCCCAGGAGAGGCTGTGGCATCCCAGGAAGGATGGAGGCCCAGGGAGAAAGGGCCACAGACTCAAGTGAGACACGGTGGCCGAGCCTCCCCGTGCCCCTGTCCCACCCCCAAGGTGTGTCTGCCTAGGCAGGAGGGGCCCACCCGAGGCCCCACCCACCCTGGAGGCCACGTCCTGAGTGGGTCAGACCCCTGGGCCGCACCCCTGCAGCCTCCTGGTCTGCCCACCGGTTCTGCAGACCCAGGTCCTAGAGGCTGCTGGCACCCCCATGACAGCTGTCTGCCCTCCCTCTGGTCCGTGTCCTCTCTGGGCCCCCCCACCCCTCCCCACATTCTGGAACACAAACTTTAGGTGTGTCTACAGCCCAGCTTGTGGAGCACGTTAAGCTCTCCGTGTGGCCGGGGAACAGGCCCGAGTCCCACCCCGAGCCTGTCCTGCTGGGAGCTGTGCACCCCTGGCTGGGTGCTCCCAAGACAGCTGTGGGCTGGGCCGAGGGTGGGTGGGGTCAGCACATCCCTGCAGGGAAGACAGCGCCTCTGCCAGTCCACCTCTGCTCAGGGGGCTGGGGAACCACAGATAGGCAGGGGTACCCTGGCTGGACACCAGCGCAGCCCCTCCCCCACGGCCTGGCACTCACTGGGCTCCAGAGGCCTGGCCTCAAGGGCTTAGGAACCATCCTCTTCGTCGGAGCCAGCTCAGCCCTGACCAGACCAGTCACTCTCTGAGCTCTCCGAGGCACCCCCCCCCAGCAACAAGGCCAGCCCCCTTTCCCACTCACGCAGAGACCACCTCCTCAGAAGACACTCCCGAGACCATCCAAGGTGGCCAGCTCCCTCCTGTGGCATCCGCCCACCCTAGTAAGCCCTCAGTCCATGAGACCAGCCCTTCACTACTTGGCTTTGGGCACACCCCTAAATCATCCAGAACGACATCCCCACCTTGGGGAGCTGATGGCCATCAGGCCGGGTAGGCCTGGTCATCTGCGTCCACAGCTCTGGAAGGAAGCCCTGCGCTCTCGGGCGCTGGAGGACCACTCCCATCCGTGTGTCCACGACTTGGCCCGCTGCCTGGCACACAGCAGGCGCCCAATAAGTGAATCTAAACACAGAGCAAGCAGACACTGGAGAAGCTGAGGCATGACTCAGGTCACACAGCGGGTTCCAGACCGGAGGACGACGACTCAGGGCTTGGCCACGGCAAGTCTGCTCACGTGCGGTGACCTCAGCTCTGCCGTCTGTACTGCAACATGGCGCCAAGGGACAAAAGCCATCTCCCGAACCCGCCTGACAGCAAACACTGAGCCGACTCCCAGCAGTGATACGACATGTGTGACCAGGCCCCATGGTGTGACAGCTAAGTCCAGCCAGGGGGACATGCGGTGACAGTTACTCCCTGTGACCATCTGCCCTGTACAGACCCAGCCCGCCCCACGTGGAGGGGGGTGGGAGGACACGAACTCTAAGCTCCAGGCTGCCTGGTGCCAGCCTGCGCCCACGCAGTGACCAGGCCTCCAATGCAGGGCCCTGCCACCGCCACATGCCTGGGGTGAGGCAGGCGCCAGGCACTGCGGTCCCCAGGCAACGGGAGAAACAGATCCCAGGGACGCCTCCCACTGCCCAGGGCACCCAGGCCTCCCAGGTTTTGCCAGTAAATGGGCTGTCGAGCCAGCACTGCGACTGCTAATATCGTGGGTACAGAACTGGGATCAGGCAGGCCGGGCAACCAGCAAAGAGAGGAGGGCAGGCGGCTGCAGGAAGGGTTGGGGAGGGGGCCTCGGAGAACAGGCGGGGCCAGGTTCATCCCGGATTCTCTACAAGGACACAAGGGTCAGCTGCAGACAGAAAGCCCAGGCTGAGCGGGCTGCACCCACTCAGGCCTCTCCTGGCTCCGGGCAGCTCGGTTACAGTGGAACGTGGCTACGACACGGCTGCCTGTTTTCACGACCCAGCCAGGCCCAGGCCTGCTTCCTCCCAGAGAGGGGGTGGGGGATCCCCTGACCAGGCTAGCGGCAACCCTCAGGGAGGGAAGCCCAGGTGGGGGCAGAGTGAGGGTACGGAGGAAGGGAGAGCCTCCAGCTCCTGCAGACATCCCCAGCCACAAGTCGGGGGTGCCTTAGCCTCCTTATCCTGAGTCATATGGCCTTCTCAGAAAATAGAGGGGCCCTCTGCTGCAAGTGCCCCTCCTCAGGGAAGAGTGGCCAGGCAGGCTGTGCAGGCAGAGCAGGGGTGGGAGGACAGCCCTGTGCTGCCCGGGCCCAGCGAGCAGCTGCCCATCAGGGCTGCCGGCCACCCAGACTAGGTGCAGCCAAGCCCGGCCTGGTGGAGGAGGCAGGGGCCATGGGTGGATGGGGACCACGGTACCCCAGTGCCAGGTCCTCCACTGCAGCCCCCAAGTGCCACTCTGTCCTGCCAAGTGCCCCCTGCGGTCACTGCCAGAGCAGGGCGGCCTCACAGGGGAGGCCATATGTTAAGTCACATGACTTGTGCATAAATGGTTCCTGGCACATCTAATGAAGAGATCATGTCAGCAGATCACGGGCAAGGAGGACAGGCCTCCCCGCCACATACCCCCACAGGGCAGAACCTGGGCACCCAGGGAGAAGGCGGGGGGCCTCTGTCAGAGGGCCATTACTGTGTGCCATCTCAAAATAAAGTCCAGCAAGACAAGGGCCATTAGTGTGTGATTAATGCCTAATCATTTATCGAGGTGACAGCTCATTCCCACGTGACTGGTATCCAGGAGACTTATCTGCCTCACAGAGCCACTGCAGCGGCGCACAGGTGCGGAGGGGCGCTGGATGGGTCTGCCCCAACCTGCCGCGCTCCCCCCACGGACTCGGGCTGGCTGCGGCCACAGCTCTCCTGTAACTTGTCTCCCGGCACTCCTCAGCACCACGCTCTTAACCAAACACTGTTTTCCAGTCCTAAGCTGGGCACAACTGCTTGTCTGAATCCAAACCTCAGCCCTGGTCACTTCTCCGAGTCCCGTGGGGGACCGTGACCTTAGGCGCCACACTCCCACTTGTGGGCAAGTGACAGGTGAGGTCCGGCGCTCACCTGTCCCCCCCCCCCCACGGTCACGACACTTCTAAAGACGGCTGAGTTCAACAGTGCGTCGGAACAAAGAAAAGTGTGCTAATTGTGGCAGACGTGGGGGAGTTGGGTCGCCCGGCGACACGCGGCGGCCAGGCGCGGAGGCTTGCGCCCCCCCCACCGAGCCCTAAGCTCCGACTCGGGACCCCCAGCCTCCTCTACCCCGCCCGGCGCAGCCCGGCCCCCCGCACCAGTTCTCCCTCCCCGAAAAGTCGCGCCCACTTGAAGAGCCGCTTTCGCCCCCCCACCCCCCACCCGAGGGGCGTGAATGGGCTCCC